ATGCCCCTTCCCTCCCCCCTCCCCTTCCACCACAACAGATTTACCACCTGTATCGCAGCTGTATCGGATATCTGATCAGTATTGGCTGATATGCCTCCTTAAATATCCACTATTGGTATCAGCCCCCCAAATTTTTATTGGTGCACCCCTAGTTCCAAACTTTCACTATTTTTTGGGCTATCTTTTCCAAAAATAACCCAGTATCCTTCTGGTGTGCAGACAACAGATGGACCAACCTGAAATTTAAAATTCAAACCAGTTTTGTTAATTTGGTATGGAAGAAGCATTTGAACAATGGAAAAATGCTGTTTCTTCTCAAGTTAGTAACTGAAACAGGTTTTAAAGAGTTTCCTTTTAAATTTCTCACCAAAAGCAAAACTAACTTCTGAGCTAAAAACAAGGGTAAGAAAAATCAACCCCTGTCAGAGTTGTGTGGCTACTGAGAATGTAAGTATTAAAATTACAAAAAGCATGGTAATTTGTTACAGGACAAGATTTATGGGCAAGAGACTGTATTCAGAGACTGTCTATCAGGTATTGTACAGACACCTACACACATGTATATAAATGCCACCCCACACTTTTTAGCAGGAAGCCCTGGTCCTACCACAAACAGCGCACAATCCAAGTGCAAAATTTATTTTAAAATGTGGTAAATATGTTTTCCTCTCATAGCTAGAGTCGAAATCACTGCAGTCCATGTGGTTTGTCTATGGGAGGCAGCTGCTTGTTTTAGTCAAGAGCACATCTCGCTGCCAAGCCAAGGAGCAGCATTTCTGTTAGCTTCGGAAGCAGCTGTTTGCCCATTTCTGAGTGAATGAAATGAAGCTAGAAGCACATATGTGCCTGTGGTGGGGGCTGTGGATAGGAAAGGAAACAAGGGAAAATAGTTACAGATAAGGGCCAAATTATCAGCGGATGTAAATTGACATAGTTGACTTTAATGGAGCTATGCCAAGTTTCATCAGCTGAAGATGTGACCCGCTCTTTCTTAGAGTGAAACATATATTTAGAGAAGATCAGGAACAACAATTGTCAATGAAAGCAAGTAGCTTTAACTGATGGTTCCTTCCTGAGTGTTGTTTTGTAAGCTGGTTTATGGTGAGACAGTTCTCTCTCTTTCAGGATATGTAACTACCATGTTAAGGGCCAAAATTACGTCTGGAGAGTGGAAGAGGATAGGGCTTCTGAGTAATCACAATGCTTTGTGGGTTATGGATGTTTGCTGCCAAGAAAGTGGAGGTGCAAGATAAGCATGTAGTAATGATCCTGTTGGTTGTCAGTCTAGCGTACATAGCCCAAGTAAGGTATTTTGCTTTATATAAATAGTACTCCATGATGGTGCAACAGTTTAAGCTGGAATGTCTCTTAATGGACATTCTCTGATTTCTGTTTTGAGCTATCTGGAATTTCCCTTAAAATATTTATTGGCCTCCTAATCACTAGGTGAAGCTGATCAACTGCAAGTTTTCCTGCCATTTACCAAAGCTGGAATGTTACAGCCACAGTGGGGTCTATTTTTGTGACTGAGGAAACATAACAGACCCTGTGATTTACCCGTCCTCACCAGGGGCTAATGCTTGCATATCCTGAGATATCATTGTGCCATCTGAGAAGAGAAACAGCATATTAACCTGCTCACCAGTAAAATTGGTATCCCCAAGAGTAGACTTTCCAATATACCTACTGTCATCATTCTACTGAACTACAGCATAGTTGTTCTGCATGATTTAGAGCCTCAGCTGTGGCAATGAAAGGGAGGAGTGTTACACGGTGCGGTGTTACTGTTAAAGTGCAGGTTATAAAATGAAAATCACTATGGAATCTATCAAAATTGCAGTCATGGGTTCATAATATTCCAACATTATGGGCAGTTTTATAAAAAGTCATGGATTTTTCGTAACTATTTTTACTTGATCATTTTACCTTGGTGGTAAGAGCCTGCTGTGGTGATGTTTATAGCATATTTCTTTAACACCAGTTTTGAAAAAACCCCCAAAGCTAAAGGGATACTCAAAGCTGTACTTAATCTTTTCCAAGCCCATTTGCAAAAGTCTCTGTAATGTTTTACATACACTTTTTGATTTTTTAAATTTAAAGCTCCATCAGTTTTGCACATAATTTAAGACCCTACAATAACAAAGGGAAAATAAACAACAAATGCACATTGTTTTAAAGATTGCTTTGCATTATATTGTAGAAATCTATTTGGATTATATTAAAAGGTAAACGCAGTCAGCTCCATCAGCAACAACCAGTGAGCGGTGTGGCTCCTGTTTGTCAGTCTCTGTCAGGGTTAGTTCTGTTCTATCCTCCTGCCTTATGTAATTTAGAGCAGCCTCAGAACTGTTCCCGACAATACCAGGGATAAAATCCTGGCCTGGAAAAAGTCAATGATAAAACTTCCATTGACCAGTTGGGCCCAGCAGTGTGAAAGTGGGGAGGTGGAGGGTGCAGTGCATCGTTTAGTGATGGCAGGAGTACAAAAGTGTTCTACTCTCAGCCCACTTACCCCAGCTGCAACACAGTGGCTTTGGAAAGAGGAAATTCAGGAGGTATTTCCTAAGATGGTTCCTGTGCCACCCAAGAATGATTGCACACTATGGGAACCTGTAGCTGGCCAGCTATGCTGAATTTTCAGCTTCTCTGCATCTCTAGAATGATAAACACAGGCTGGGGTGGAGCTAAGGACTATGCCACATGCAGTCGGTCACTCTTTGTATTCTGTACCTTAAAGTCCTCACTGGGCACGTCCACACATTCAGGCATGTGCACTTGCAGGAGCTCAAATAGAAGTGGTGCAAGTATGAGCCAGGGATTTTTGCTTCAGTGCACATACCAGGACATGTGCTTTGGTGCGGTGCAAGTTGTACCACTTGGAGCAAAATAACCCTGCTTGGCTCCTCCCAGATCTGCAGCCAGGGGGAGTTAGAGCCTGGGGCCAGGTGTGTAAAAACCTGCCCTGTTCTGGCCCCATCAGTACAAAAAGCTGCCCTGGCAAGTAGCTCAGGCCTACTCGCTGTCAGGAGCTTCTGGGGCCCAGCCAATTGGTGCCTGGGGACACAACCTCTTGTGCCAGCTGGACTGCTGCAGCAGCCCTGAGTGTTCCCTGCACCCCCTACCCACTGCAGCAGTCTGGCAGTGGGGACTGCTGCCTGGCTGTGACCTGCTGCGCACCTGCCAGACCCAGATGGGGACTGCACAGCTAGTAGAGGCATCTGCCTCTCTGGGCCAGCTGCCAGTGGGCTATGGCTACAGAGTTGGCCTTTGTGTGGCACTACTGCCATAAATGTCCCTGCCCGGCCATCTGTTTCCTTGCAAATTGTTTAAGTGTCCAAGTGGCTTCCTGCCTTCTGTGTGCATGGACCAATGGGCATCAAGAAAAGGATGACCAATCAGGCCATAGTTGTGTGAGGATGAATCATCCTAAGTGGTGACCCCCCCACCTTTGTGTTAGGTGAGCTTCCTAGTATGTATTTGTTGCCCTGTGGGGTCAGGCCAACTCTCAGGATCTCAATATTGTGCAGTTAGGAGGGTGTGGCACAATTGCACGTATACGAACACACAAATCAATTGGGTGCCTACACACACACTACCAACTCAGGCATATACACATCCAAACTAGCCTAGGGACATGCATATCTATCACCAATTCAAGCACATACACTATACACCCCAAAAGTTAGATAAAAATCAGTTGTCCATACCTGCACACTCAGTACACATACACAGATCACTAATTTGTATATCATGCACACAATGATGTGTGTGTATGTGTGTACACACACACACACACCAGCTCACACACATACAACCCACCTATATATACACACAGGTGAGTTCCTAACTTGAGTGGTATGGTATGTATGTGTGTGCTTGGGGTACCTGGGATACTTGGGGGAAGGATAAGGTGAGAGAGAGAGAGTTAAAATGTAGGGAGTGAAAGATGCCAGAACTGGGATTAGAACCAGTAGACTAGAGAGAAGCTGACTGAGGAACTGAGGCTTGGGTTTCCTTAAGGTCAAGTGGCCCCAGGGTTACTCAGGGTCATTGGTGCAAGGGGGAAAAAAAAAAGCCTGGTGGCAAGGAGGAGACAGCCAGGAAAGAGAGAGACAGAAACCTGGGAGTTTGGGGCTGGAAACTGAGGCAGACAGCTGAGCTATGGGGAGAGGGGACAGATAAGTAGTGGCAAGGAAGAGATAGCCAGGAAAGAAACTGAGGCAGAAATCTGGGAGCTCAGGGGAAAAGGCAGTGGGGATAAGACAGTGGCAAAGAAACAGGGGGTTTGCAGGCAGAGAAGAGCTCAGGACAGGTGTTGGAGGTGGCGGTGAGCCGGAAGCAGGTGAGGGAGAAATGAGACAGAAGTTAGAGGGGCAAGGAGCATAGATTGGAGCAGGGCTGGACTGTAGTAAAGCAAACCCAACTCAGGGGTCCAAATAACAGTTTTATTAAACAGACAACCCACTACACAGCCCCATGAAGTTATTGGTTCACACACACACGCACACACACAAGCACTCACAATGGCAGCAGGAGAAAAAGACTTAGTGGAAGGGTTGGAGTCCAGGTGGGGAAGAGAAGCAAAGTCCAAGTCCTTGGTTGAAGA